AATGGGGACAAAATTAAGGCATCATTGTTAACATTAGTAGACCAGGTTTTTACTGGATTTTCTGACTATTTTCTGAAACATCTGCTTCCAGATTTACGTTATTCCCTTCTGCTATAAATGATTCTTCTTCATTATCATTTATTTCATTTTCTATTTCTTTCCTATCGCCATCTTCTGATTCTAAATCTGACTCATCTGTATCATTAAAAAGAATAGCCTCAATTTCTTGGTGAGTTAAAACTTTGCGATATTGCGCATTTTGATTAAAGCTTAAGTACATTGAACAAAAAAAAAAAAAAAAAAAGTCACGTGCAATCTAAAGATAAGAAACCTCTTACGACAGGCTGTCTGCAATAAACTGATACAATGCATTTGGGGAAACCAGGGCTGTGGGGAAAAATTTCCGACTCTCTCATAAATATATACATGTAAACATATACACATGGGTTACAGCTTATTTTTTTCAATATAAAAGAAGTAATAGATGCTACAGGGGAAAATTGATGGCATAGAAAATTATTTATATTAATTAGCATTTATTATGATATGGAATTAGTTATTCTAAGAAACAGTATAGCTTTGGCAAGATCTTTGTTGGAGGGCCATAGATCCGATTTGATAAACTTCGAAGCTGAGAACTTTCCACACTAACTTGAGTAGGAGGAAGAGCTGTTACTGTTAGGGCTTCTTCTTTTAACTTTTCAAGGTAGATTTTTAGAAGTTCTAAAAGAGGTGTCGTGCAAGCGCAATCATATTTCTCTATTTCCTCAAAGGCCGTGTAGAAATCTTGTTTATATATTTTTATTTTTATATCTAAAGGCTCTTGCTTCTTTATTTTCATTCGCTTTGCCTTAGCCTTTTCAATATTATCCAAAAAATACTTCTCAAAATCTAATTCATCACTGGAAGAGGATGATAGAGACTTAATTGCAATGTCTGCAGTTTGACTGTCCCGATTCGAATTCTCCAATTGTTCTGAGAATAATTTCATTCTTAATGAAAGTTCATAGGTGGTTTTTGTTGCCTTTTTAATTTGTTTGTCATCCAAGAAAATTAGGTGTTTTAGATCTACGTATTGAACCCAGCAAGATATCATTGTCTAGCAAACTAGTTCCTCCTTTCTTTATTGAAGTAATGATTCTTTATGCAATAAACCTTCCATTTCAGAAAGAACAAACATCCAATTTTTCCATTTTTGCCTCCTGTCAATTCTTCAGATTGCAGCTTTTTTATATCTAAAGGCTCTTGTGGTTCCATATGGTGTAGAAAGAAGAGTTTCCAATTCTGCAAGATCATTCCAAGGTCTTTCTGTTAGTGAAACATTAGGCCTATCTACATCTTCTAAAAGAGTCCTTAATTCTAAAAACCTCTTTATCATTAAATATGTACTTCCTTATCACGTTGCTAAATAAATAATTGTTCCTTTTCCTGCTTGCTTCCTAAGAATGGCATCAATTTTTGGTGTTCTTATCTGCTATTCTTGCTTACCTAAATTTACCAGCAAGATTTGTAACTAAATGAATCAGTTTAATCACTAATGGCAAATATCACATCCATCCTCCTCCCTTATATTTATTTATTAATATGTCAATAAAATAGAAAATAACTATTTATTAATGTATATAGTTCATAAATAAAAATAATAACTCAACTTGTCATTATTTTTTTTTCAATTCATTTTAATTTCATTTAAAATTCAAACTATCCAACGAAAACTGGAGTTGGAGTCGACCTGCTTTTAGCGACTCCAGCTCCAACTCCTTTTACCCCACAATCTGCCCGACTCTGATTCCAACTCCACAGCCCTGGGGAAAACTGCACCTGTTACTGCATACCTTAGTGCAGGGATGGGCAAACTTTTTCGGTCGCGGGCCAAAATCGGGAAAAAAAAAAGTTTGGTGTGCCAAGATAAATTTTTCTACAGTTTTAAGAACAATATACAAGTATTACAATTTAAATATGTTAATGAGATGAATGAAATTGCGATTTCATTTTTAAAAATTCTTATATTGAGGTTCGAAGAAGATATACGAATTCTAAGGAATGAGGCTAAATGCTCATCTGCCAGTGTATACTTCTGAAATAATTCTTTCTAAGGTTTATAGTTGAAAACACTTGTTCACATATATAAGATGAAGCAAACATAGCACTGATTTTCTGGGCGTGAGATACTAAATTTGAGAAACTTACTTTCGATAATGATTTGTAAAACTCTAACTTGGCATATTTAGAAACAACTACTTGAGATCACTGTTAGATTGCAACTCAATTAATTCAAGTTGCAAATCTGACCTCACTGCTTCACAATTTATGTTGAAAGGCACTGAAATCTTGAAATCTGCGTTCACTCAAATTTTTTTTTTTTTTTTTTTTTTTTAAGCCATCTTCATAATTCTTAAGCTTATCTTTATTTAGAGGGTATTGAATTTAACCTCTGGGAATGAGGCAAGTCGTTCTTAGCTAGCTGCTTAGCAAACAGATTAAGTTTTAGTTTAAAAGCTTTCAGATGGGTCCAGATATTGTCGATAGAATGATTTTTTCCTTGCATCTTGACATTCAAGTTGCTTATACAACAAAGAAGATCTGCAAAAAATGCGAAGTCTGAAAGCCATTCTGCATCTTCTAACATTTCGCACTCCGCAAAACACTGTTCCTCATGGAAAAATGACACAATGCCGTCCTTCAGCTGCCAAACTCACTCAAAAACACATCCTGCATTAAGCCACTTTACTTTAGTGCAATACAGTACATCAGAGTACATAGATTGCACAGACTGAAGACAATCTTGAAATTGCCTGTAAGTAACCCCTTAGATTGAATAATATTTATAAGCTTTACGACTGCATCAAGCACGGGTTTCATATTCAAAGCAGATTTACACAGAGCATCTTGATGTATAACACAGTTTACAAAAACAACATTGTTCCCGAGATAGTTTTGATTAGAGTCCAAGAAATCCTGATTTTTTTCTGTCGTATTTGGTGCTCCATGGGTCGTAATATTACATATATTTGTTATACACACTTTCAAATTTAAAAGCCCTTACTGAAATTCATGAAAAATATCACATCCCATTGTAATTCCTTTAAAGAACACATGCAAGGCAGTTCCTTGGTAATTTCAAAGTTTTCATCAAAACCTATTATAAATAATACTAATTGAGCAGTATCATTTATAACAGTGCTATCATCCATAGCTATGGAGCAAAATTTAAACTGGCCAATCTCTGACTCTAATTGTGATGTCAAATTTTTTATTGATGTCTTCCATTCTAGGAGTCACCGTTTTTTAAGATAAGCTTACAGTCTCAAAATTATTTTTCCCGTCTGGATATAAAACATCACAAACTTAGAGTATGCATTGTTTAATGAACTCCCCATCACTGGGAGCTTTATTATTATTTTTAGAAATACTGTATGTTACAATGTGACTTGCATGTGCAGCTGCTTTTTGGATATTGTTTACCTTCTTGAAAAAAATTTGTCAGCCTGATTATTTTTTACAAAGATCTTCAGCATTTTGTTTTCTTTCATATTCAGACATTGCTTTGTAAATGGAATTCTTATGCTTAGATGGGAAATGTTATATTCTTTGAAGACTGCTACAGCATCATTGCAGATGAGACACATCGGTTTATCTTTTACAACTGTAAAAAAAATTTCCAGATTCATTCATCATTAAAAGCATAGCACTTTGAATCAACTTTACATTTTTTAGTAGCCATTTTGGGGGAATATTTTATGAATAACCCAAACAAGCACTAGCTATGATATACTTTTAATAATCTCACCACTATTCACAATGAAGCTATACATCTGCAATCTTTCCATATGCAATGAATAATATTAGAACTCGCGCCAAAAGAAAACACCACTGGCTGGAGCTTAAAATGCACAGTCACTGTCACATGTGAGGTCTAATTCACCTATATAGGATTCCCATATGTCTTCTCTCTGAGAAAGAGATAACGCTTGTTGGCGTCAATCTACAGCTATAACTAACAAAGAATTTCTGCTTTTAACACATAACCAATTGAAACCTGTCTATGCTTGCTATTTCCATCAATTTATGTTTTGTAGAACAAAAATAGAGACAGTAAAAAATCATCAGTCCTTTAAAAAAAAAGGAAGGGAAGAAATATTTAAACAAAGTACAAAAGGAGATGGATATATAATATATAAATATATATTTCTTTTAATTTGCCTCAGACCAGCAAATTTAAATTCTATCCGCGAGCCAGATAGAACCTTCCGGTGGGCTGTAGTTTGCCCATCCCTGCCTTAGGCGAAGGGAAGAAAACAAAATCGCAATCTCTGCTGTTTTCGGCAGTTCTGGTAGTCTGAACGTATGGTCGTGTGGGGTGGTTTGGTTCTCAAAGAGTTAAAATTAAATATACAAAATTTAAACAATGTACAAAATTTTGCAAAATGTAAAATATCAAATGTGAATGGTAAAGCATAGCCCCTCCCGAAAAAAAGGAAGTTGTTGGTGATCTGCATTTTAGATCATTCTGGAAATTGGATGTTCAGACTTCCTACTGCGTATGCTATCTGATAACTGGTCAGCTAAAAAAGCACCTACTTACATATATTAGAGTAAAATGGCAGTACTTCCTATTTTGACAAGGTACGATTTCCCTCATAAAGTAAAAGAAAAAACATCTGCCTTCAAGTTTTAATATAAAATATAACAGTAACTTCAATGCCAGCCCTCTCAACCTGTTTGATATTTAGTTCCTGTTTATTAACTCAAGGGCCGAGAAAAAAGAAACTGTCACATGCTGAAATTGATCATTAGGTCCTAGGTCTTGTAAAATTTCCATTTCCTACGCAAAATGTATTACGTAAGCATAATAACAATTCAAACAGAAGTAAATCTTGCATTTTAAATGATTCAAAGACTAACAGTTTTATTATAAATATTATTTGCTACTTATGAACTTATAAAATACGAGTATTTACAAACTTTGAACTATACACAGTTAAAAGTGTAATAATTACTTCCTTGGGACCAGTTGTTTCTTTTACTTTCACAGCATTTTCAAGTTCTAATTCTTTTCTAGCCTGCATTTTTGTAGCTTGCAAGGACCTAACAAATTAAATCAATATATTTTGAAAAATAAACAAAGTAAAATTTACAATATAAATTCTATTATGTATTATGAAGTTATTACAGATTAGAAACAGCAATTTCTAAGCTTAATAAACAAAATAAATGATGCATTATTTTCATTAGATGTACTACTGTTCATGAAAACTACAACACCATGAAAATCTTCAGAACAAAATGAAATACTATATTCCACACATTACTTGCAATTTTAAAAATAAATATTAAAATTTACAGAACAGTAAAAGTAAATTAAATGCCAAAAATCAGTATTTGGTGAAGCCAGCATGCACTGCAGTAAGATTTCTCATTCATTATGGCATTGAATGAAACAAGTTTTGAATACATATCAGAGATATAGGATTCCACATTGCTTCTATTTGACCCCAAAGTTTATATGTATTGCCCGTGAGACAATTCTGACAATTCTGTGAGACAGGCCATGAAATCCCAGACATGTTCAAGGAGCAACATTTCTGGTGACTGGGTAAGCCAAAGAAGCAGCAACTGATATGCTGAGAAGTCATTTTGAACATTTCTAGTAACAACAGGATGGGCATTTTCTTGTTGAAATATTAAAATTTTGAATGATTTGAATGCAATAGAAATGCAATGAAGAGTCTTCATACTCTACAATCTCCCCAAGTAGCCATCGCTAGTGATAGTACCTTCTTATCAGAGCTATCATCCAACTTTGCAATCAACTATTGGAACGCCAACTTCTAAACTGCATTATTTGTTATCATATTGATTATATGTACTATTCAGCATCCACCATCTTCACCACATATCTGAAGCAGGATTCATCAGAAAAGATGACCTATTGCGAACTGAGACACCAGTGTTTGTGTTAATGAGTCCACTATAGTTACAGGCATTGGTTTTGAGTTTTGCATCAGGGGAAGAAGGAACAAAGGAATGCATGTACACAATACATGGCTCTTTCAAACGATTAAAGTTGAACATGGCACACTTGTAGCAGTACTCCAATGTTGCAATGACAGTTGAGATGAAGATGAACAGTCCATCACTGGACAAGGTGTCTTATTTCCTGCTAACATAACATTTTATGGTCTAATGACATATTTGTGAATTGTTTGGTTCTTTTGAGACAATTCTGACATTTACAATATAAATTCTATTATGTATGCTTGTAAACAGGAATCACTGATGAGACTATGCCTCACATGAGCTGTGATTTCATGAAGGGAAAATCTCCCTTCTCGCACGTGGATTATTTGCTCCTGTTCAAATGGTACAACTTGCCACTGACCAGGCATAATAGTGCTTCATGAAACAACTTTTTTAACACTCCACTATATCCCTCTTATTTACAAAGCAGAAAGAGTTTCTCAGATCAAATATGTTTTATACCCCTGATATTCTAATCATTAACACATCATAACATGCTTTGCATTTTCTGTAAATCTTATTCACATGATTTCTTCATGGTATTGCAGTTTCACAAACAGAAGTGTATTTACAGCTTAAGCCATTATTACAAGAAAACTATCTATGGTACTTGGATTACCCAAACCTACATAGAAAAATTGAATAAAGTATTCATGAAGAAATGCAGTATGCCTCCAAAATACTATATTGCAACTCAAAATTCTTAAAAATTATAATATTCATAATGCTCCATTCTTAACAGTTGAGACCACTCTCTAAAAATTTGTTGATATGGTTCTTATACAGCCAATTAGTTAAAAAATTGAATTAATAAAATATTTATTATACTTTGCCTTTTAAATGCGGTTCTGCATAACATTGCGTTTAACATTCTTAAAAGTTTGAAATATAACTAATGATTACAATCTGTGATAGTGTGAAGAACTGCAAGAATATTTTTTGTGGAAAGTTCCAGAACTGTGAGTTCCTCTTGGTAAAATGCATTTTATCAAGCTATCATTCATTCAGTGTGAATTCTATCTATTATGAACATGTATGCACGCAATGATTTTGGTGTTAGGAGTAGGGTTGAATGCTGTTGACGAGAGCAATGGAATAACAATTTAAGACAGCTGGTGACTACCTTTGGTGTATTCCAAGAAAGGATGGAAGAGGCTGTCGAGATGAAAGCGGACCAAGAAAAGACGGAGGGCCAGCAAGTCTGTTAAAGAAAATATGCTAAGAAAAAAAAAAGAAGAGGCCATCAAATCAGTTCAAGAAAAAATGAAAAGAGAAATTACTACCATAATAGAAAACAAATTCTAGGCGATGGAAGGCATTAAAGAATGTGTATGTAAGAAAGGAAAGGTTCCACAGACGTAATGTAAACCAGTTTGCTATTATGCTGCCAGAAAGCGGAAGGAAAATTCACCAAATTATTTGGCAACGGAACCTGGTGGTGAGAAATTCTCCTTCCACGATGTGTACAGGAAATTGAGGAGCATGTTTTAAGAAGATACATTCTTTGATGAAACGTTCCATCTTGGACTTTTCTCGATAATTTATCGGATTTTTGCACTTTTTTTGCTCAAAATAACTAATTCATTAATTAATTTACTTGAGCAAAAAAATATTTTCTTTTCCTTTAAAGTTTAAAAAAAATTTAAAATGACATTCATTTTATGCATTCTTGATAAACGTGACCTTTGGACTTTGACGCCGGCTTTGAGCTTTGGCAACAAATATTTTGCACATGCACAGCTGTTTCCCTCTACGTTGGGAAAGAGCCACTCCTGTTGCGGAGAAGTTTTCCTTCTTAACAAAACATATTCTTTGGGAGAACTTCAAGAAAGAATTTCTGCTATCAAACAACAAATCAAAGACCAGAATTTCTACTGCTGTCACCAAGGAAGTTGACAGTTTATAGAAGTGCAGAATGGCAGCTGATCACAAATCTAATATCTTTAAATTCGAGCATATGTCATCCTGACTCTCTCTAAAGCTATCCACATATAATGGAAACACCTCCTGGTTTCACTATGGTGGCAAACACAAATGGATAGAATTTCAAAGCATACCACTTCGCCACTTCCCTCAGAGCAGATATCCTCCAAACTCTGCATGAAAACCAAAGGCTAGACTTTGAGCTCTATCCGGCACATTGGAGCTACACTCTGGTGAGACATGTTTAAAATACTACAGCAGGCTTCAATTAAAATCTCATCAACAGAAGAACGTGGAAACATTCCACGTGTTCGCCACGCCTCATCTTGCATTTTCGGACAGCCCAACAGAAACAAAGAAAATATTGACCCTGCAGTACTTCATCTATGGCTCCTGGGATCCTGAGGTACAGAAAGCTCTGAGAGTGGCAGATGTCAAGGATTTAAAATGTGCTTTGGTGCATGCCATGAAATTCGAAGCAGTTTAGGAAGTAACTCGTACAGACTGCCACCCAATCAGAGTTGCACAAATTCATGAGCCAGTGGATCAAGTGAATGCTCATTCAGACGATTAACATTTTGTGATACATTATCTTTTTAAGGATTAACTTTTCTCCATAATTACATTATTTAATCTAACATACACAAACGTTGTATATGTACTTACCAATTAACATTAGCAGGTTGTTTTTGTTCTATACGAGCCAAGGCGGCCGCAGCAGCTCGTTCAGCTTCTTTGGATAGCCTGGGATTAGACGGTTTATTAAATCCACTGGCAGATGATATATTTTCTCCTGGTTGTAAAGGCTTTGGTGCTTCATTCAGTCTGTGGGCAGGACCAGCTTTTTTAAAGTTTTGGTCTGCTTTCTTCCTCATGAAAAAATCTCTAATTGGATTCATGTTTTAATAATTATTTATATTCGTGGAGTATGTTCTTTCGGAAGTTTCAGTTCAGTTGCTTCTCGTTTTAAATCTTCCAAACTCTTACTTGAGGCTACAACAGAAGTAGAAATCATTCTTATTAAGACATAATAATGACAAAAAGAATATAAAATTTACATAAACTAATGTAGATAAAAACAGACTGAAAAAATAACTTAAAATAAATAGTAGTGAATAAATTATATTCCAGCATGACTATGCTAAAATACATGCAAAACACCTTATATAATATGCAACTTACAATGATACACACTTAAATGATAAGCAACAAATCATCTTATTATAAAACATTTATAAGAAAAACAAGTTCTTAAGTTCTTACCACAGCTCATAAATTTAACAGTAAATCAAGATATAATGCAGCAAGCCGAATAGGGTACTTTTAAAACTTGTATCCTTAAAAGTTTATTTTTCAAAAAACGCAGATATCAAATTTCACTTTAATTAGAAATATTTTAATATTAAACAATGTTTTCATTATTATTAGCCTGACATGAAGGATTTGAGAAATTCTTCTTGGATTTGAGACTACAAAATTTCAGAACCTTTTAGGATATAGATCATGGGTGAGAAATTTTAAGATTTACCCCATCTCTATTTCAAACTATGACAACCAAATTTACAAGTTTCACATGTTTTAAAATGTGATGTTAAACAAAGCTGTTATCTGATAGACATGGGGGGGGACATTTTTTCAAAGAAAAGTTTCAATAACCAAGAAAATTTTATTACTAAAAATGCTGTTAATTAAAAAAAATCACCTATCACATTTGAAAGATATTCTAAGGTTTTCTGTAATAAAAAAACTTAAGCCAGTTATGCACAAAGACTTTTCAAAAACACTAAATAAAATTAAACTTTCTGAAAGTTGCTTGATGATCAAGGCTTAATTTTTAAAAGAAGTGTCATAGCCTTATCAGGAACATCAAACAGAAATAAATAATAAAAAATGAAATGATAAAATAACAAATAATTAATCATCAAATTAAGTTTATTTAACACATTTTAAAAACTGAATAAAACAAATGAAAAGTGAATAAATTAATGATACAACATGGTACTAAGGATTAAAAAATGATAATGATCATTCTCAGAAATACTTTTCACAGACATATAAATCTTCCTCATTTTAGCTTCCAATTCATTAAAAAAATTGCCGACTCGACGAGTAAACCGAATGAACTTCTAAAACATTGTGGTAGTTCAGGTAGTGTATAGCCAACAACATTTAAAAAAAAATGACCCATAAAGTTTAAAATATATTGGTAAAGTGCATAAACAATCCCTTCCCTGAAGAGATGTATTTCAACATCAAGAATTTCTTTCCTAGATGCGAAGCTAATAATAAACGATAAACGGCTACACTTTATAAAGACAAAATATTAAATTAAGATTGTTTTAAATTAAGTTCTCTTAAAGGTTTCCCATTTAAGAATATTGTTATTAGACCTGAAATATGTTATACAACCAAAGATCTCGTGAAAATATTCAACAAGCTTATTCAGCTTCAGCACTGCTAAGCTATAATCTCTTTGATGATAGCTTTTCTTACATAGTTAGGAATTTTGGAACAGCTTCAGTATAGCCCACCTTTAAAGTTCAGCGAATTTGTTTTCGTGCCAAAGCACATGAAATACGTTGTTTTGAAAAATGGTTGCCATCCAGATTTTCGATGAAACTCTGTGTTTCAAAAATGGCGGCCATCTTGATTTCACCAGAAATCAAGGATAATAGAAATAAATTTACGACTATTATACACGATTTTACAAGAAAAAACCATTAAGAAATGATTAATAAAATGATTAAGGTTAAAAGGATATAATTTTAAAAACAATGCCGGAAAATCTCACCTTTGCTTGGCTTTTCCAAATGTAAGATACCTTTGCATTATCTTACATTTTTCATAAGTTTTATCCTTCAATAATCCACAATCCATCAAAAATCCTCTAAAAAGTTCATGCTCTGTTGTTAATTCATACATAAAATATCTGTTTGGAATGCCTGGCTTTACTAAACTTTTACGCTTGTTCGAAAACTCCCACCTTAAATTTTCCTTTAAAATCTCTCGATACTTAATTACAACATCACTAACAGCAGGTTTAGAGCAATCTATAACTAAATGCAAAAATCTGATCTCCAAAAACAGTATTCTTCAAATATCTGAGCGTTAAACAATCGCCAAAAATAGTGTTACGAATTTTGTGTAGATAGTTAATTTTGTACAATTTTAATTTTAAAATGTTGTATTTCCCCATGCAATGCAGAGCTAGATAAATTTTAAGAGAAGCTATGCCGTAGAAGTAAGAATACATTGGCACGTGCATTTAACTATGAGTAAATGAATATTTAGGTAATTTGTAATGAAGTTGAATAAATGTAACTGACTACTATATTAACTGTAACCGTAATTCCATTTTCTTGTTTACATTGCGTTTGGCGAATAGTATGGGTTACCACATCATATCATTTATTGCCGCTCCTGGCGATATTTTTTTTGGTTAAAATTCTGGGTGGGCTATACTGAAGCTGTGCCGGAATTTCATTATGCAGTATTGTTAAAGCCCTCTCAATGAAATCTTGAAAATAATTTACTTTTATTTAATGCTTTAGTATAAAATTGAATGTTAGTATCCTTTTCCTTCTTTCTGCTCATGGAATTACATATATTTTCAAATGATCCTTTTTTACATAAATTCAAAATAAATATTTCATTCTCTATTTACATATGTCATTTTGCCAATCAGCCAAGCCAATTTCTAAGAATTTTTTAGCCTAAATTTTATACATCAATCAGGAGAGAAGAAAAATATACCAAAGTAAAACATAAAATTAGCAAAGCATTAACCTTGCATTTGACATATATATTAGTCAAGACTCCATTAAGTTTGAGGACAAACCGGTACATGTATCCCTTTTCATTAGTAGCAAAGAAATATGGAACAAAGGGAAATCCATGGTTGTATTTATACCCAAAAGGAGTAAAGTCGACCAGAAGGTAGTGTCATCTGTTAGCAGAAATACAGTCAAAAGTCTTTAATCCGGACCTTAATGCTACAAACTTTCTGCGCATGCACATAATACCTTTACGCATGTGTGTTTAATGTATAACGGACGGTATAAGCTAAACTAAAATTATCTAATTATCTATTTCAGCTAATGTTGCAGAGTGCGTTGTTCCTTAATCTTCGAATTGGATCTGGCTTATTATTTTTTGCAGACTGTTAGAGAAATTTTATAAAAGTAAGCTTGAACTTTCAATTATGTCAACGGAACTTTCTAACTGAACAAGAAATTATGTCTATTTATAGAATTAAAGAGTATTAGCACATAAAATGAAGCAATTTAAACAACTTACATTGAAAGAAATGTTTAATAAAGTAAACAAATAAATACTAAGCTTTTTTTTTTTTTTTTTTTTTTTTGTAAATTTTGATACCCTTTAGATCATAATTGTTCTTTATTTCATAAATTACGGTTTCATATTTTTAATTTTATAATTTCTGACTGCCATCTTACCAGATTTAAAGGAATGATCTATAATTCGGAAAAATCGATAATCCGGAATCGCCGAAGTCCCGACGAGTCTGGATTAACGACTTTTGACTGTTATAACAAAAATTAAGTTAATAAAATTTTTAAACTGTTAAGAAGAAGTGGCATAAAATTAAAGTAATTAAATAAATGAGACTTTGAATATGAAAAGCTTTAAGGATAATTTTAAGACCCAAAGTCAAAATTAAGATTAAATTTCCAACTATAATTAGCTAGCAAAGACTTTTTAATTTCGACTTTTCAGACATAAGATTTCTGTTCCTTGATGCGAAGCTAACATTCTTTTAATTTGATCAATATATCTCAAACCATACTGACAACATATGCTATAATTCACCATGATTTTACGTCAGAAATGGAATCTTTAAGAACTAAACCAAGGATTTTATTGATATGCGAGAAATTGACTTGAAATTAAAACTTCTGGAAAATCCATTGTTAAGGATAAATACATATACATTGATAGAGTTAAACATACACATCGACAGAATCATAAAATTGATAAATGAAAGCCCTACTGCTCGATCCTTCAACTTCTGGCCTCACAAAAGTTAAAACAGCTGTTGAATCAATCTTCTTATATACTGCCAACTCAATTTAAAAAAATCACTTATTCTACCTTTGCTGATTGTGATAGGTTTCATGCTCTTGTTAAAGACCACAAAATTGGAATTCCTTTTCCAACTATATTTTCCAGGTTAGGAATAGCATCATATCCTTTGGTCAAACACTTGGTTTCCATATTTCCTCTTTTACTTTCTAAAAATATTTACATTGTAAAAAATTTTTATAAAGTTGTAGATAAACTTCAAGATATTTCTCCTCTGTTTTTCATAGTGGTTCCTTTTTATATTAAAGCACTGTTTACTAACGTTCCGTTGAAGGAGGACTAGAATGTCTCGAAACTAGGCTTCACGAATTTCAGTTCACATATACCGAAATTAAAGAGTTAATTTCCCTTACTAAAGTCTCTTTGGGCCAAACCCTCGTTGTTTTCCAAAATATTTCTGCCAAATTGAATTTGTCCTGTAGCTGCTGACATTTACATGCACTATTTTAAGGTCAAATTATTTAAGAAACTATCTTTTTGTCTCCAGATCTGTAATAAGATTTATCTCGATCAGAGTCGTAGCTAGGGTTTTCAGCGCCCAGGGACAACTGAGGATTTCGCGCCCCCTACTGCTTGCCAAGGCTGGAAAACATTTAATTTTAAAATGTCGTAACATCAGTTTGGCGTCCCTTGGATTCTGCACCCGGAGACAGATGCCCCCCCCTCTAGCTATGCCCCTGATCTTGATTCCCTATTATAAATTTGAATAAGCATTTTATTTATTATAAATTCAATCCAGTTCCTTCTGAAACCGAATCTGACAATCCCCTTCTCTTCTTTGATATATTTATAGCCTGCAATAAATCAGGTTTCATTTCTACTGCTTACATTACAATCTTTTCTGTCAGTTTGTCTTCCCATGCTAAGTTGCCATTCACTGTGCACTTTCT